CTCCACCTACCTGGGCCGGATAACGGCCTTGCCGTCGAATGCTGGACTTCGTGTTTCATACCTGAGTGGCTTCCGGGCGCCTGGGAGAACAATATCATCGCCAAACTGCACGCGCTAAGTCCCTGTCCCCACACATACACAAAGCTCGATGCGGGCAAGCGCGTCATGCTTATGTTTTAAATGCGGGCATTCATGGTGCTTTGTGGTGATGCATCTCCTAGCCGCGGGACAGCGCACGTTCATCGTCGGATGCGAAACAAAACGCAACTGAAATATGACAGTGGGCATCATTCCCTGTAAGACGTAATACACAGTCCGCAATCTGACGTGTGCTGGAAACCTGAGACCGCGTAAGCCGGTTCTGCTCCATAGCAGCATCCAAACAGCATTGCCATGAAGGTCATAGGTTAAGGCACGGGTGAAGGGAGACCGTATCATTTCAAACAGAGAACACTACGTATAAGGGCCGGAATCTACATCGGTCTGCTAGGCATTTGATGCGTGCTGTTTCTTGTTACAGTGATTTCATCGCTGTCTGGAATAAAGGGCGTCCTCAGATCCCGGTCCCAAAAATTCCACAACTTTTCACAGCTCAAGGCAAGCGCGAATGCCCAAAGATGCGCGAAAGCGCATCGAGGACGGGCACACGGTAGAAAAACGGCGCCAATTTTGACTTCGTTGGAAGAGACCTTGTTCAAGCAGATGAGATCGCTTCGAAACGATCAAATGATAGATGTGAGACTGAGACAATACGTCACAAACGGCGATTATGGATTAGTTACGACAACCGTCTCTTATACTAAATGAGTCTAGAAATGAGGTCATAGATAATCTCGTCTGTATGAGATAAGGCAAGTCTGATCTCATTTCGGAATCTGTTCAGCACACGTGCTCGGCACTCGATTGATTTCGCGTCAGCCCGATTTTTTAGTCTGCACCCTCCCCCTTATCCTCCCACCCCGAGCCTATAAGCAGAGAAAGCCAGGGCCAGGTCACCAGAGATGCAAGCTTCATTTAGTACTGGTGAATGACTTTTAACTTTCCATTTTCGGCACAAAAAGGCATCCCCAATGGCCGGTGTTGACTCGCCTCGCTAGGTACAAGTTCTCTCCCCGGCCCATGAATCGCTCCCACCTTTCTTCAAACGCAAAATATCTGTTTTGGGTATACTTTGGAATAATCGGAACAGCTTAATAGCATGCCATACGAGCGAATGCCATTACGACGGCTGTGTAGCCGGGAAGTGGGACAGTTGTCAAAGAAAACCACCGGCATGATCTTCATGTCCTCTGCGGGGGCCCGCTACGCTCGAAAAATCACTGTGATGACAACGCCCTCTAAGATGAAAACCAGCAACCAATAGGACATGACATGACTATTAGTATAGAGTACTATGGACTATATGAGAGCGGACTAGATGGCCTGCCAAGAACAACACGGGTCATCTGAGCGATTATCAAATGTTATCTTGCACATGAAAAGAACGTCTAGCGTTTTTGGTATACAGATGATGACACACACAAGTGCAATTTTCTAAAAACTTCATAACGGCCAGGCATATGTGACGTTCACATCGTTTCAGCTTTTCACCTGTCTTGAAATTTTGATTTTGGCAACGAAAATGTAATATCGGAACTCGAAATTCCATGACAATAGTGCCCGAAAACTGCTGTTCACAAAAAGGGGTGAACGGTCACTCTAATATGCCATTTCCGCGATCAATGGCCACAGCGCCGACGTCTGCCAGACACCACAGCCCGGCCACAGCGGAGGCGCGGGACAGCTGCCCAACTCACGTCCAGGGAGTTTAGCTTGCTGATCTGGTCCTGGATCAGCGATTTCAGGGGAGATATGACGACAGTGACGCCCGGCTCCATCAGCGCCGGCAGCTGGTAACAGAGGCTCTTGCCCCCACCTGCCAACCACGTCCGGCCAGTCAGCGAAAAACCGCCGCGCCGGCTAACACGAGACACCGGCACAAGCATTCATTCCAGACCAGTCGGTCTGACCCCAGCCCCCCGCGCGCTATGCGGGCGACGATGTGCTGATGGCCAGCCCCGGCGCCCGCCCGTGTCGACGGCCACCTCAGACGCCCGTCTGTGCCGCCGGCCACCCCCGGCGCCCGCCCGTGTCGACGGCCACCTCAGACGCCCGTCTGTGCCGCCGGCCACCCCCGGCGCCCGCCCGTGTCGACGGCCACCTCAGACGCCCGTCTGTGCCGCCGGCCACCCCCGACGTCCGTCTGTGCCGCCGGCCACCCAGACGTCCGTCTGTGCCGCCGGCCACCCCCGACGTCCGTCTGTGCCGCCGGCCACCCAGACGCCTGTCTGTGCCGCCGGCCACCCAGACGTCCGTCTGTGCCGCCGGCCACCCCCGACGCCCACCCGCCTGCCGTGTTTCGTATCTATGGCTGCCACCTCACGGGGGCGCAGCCGCCGGCCAGCCGCCAGCGACCGCCGGGAAGATGCCGGCCCGCCTCAAGTTCACGCTCCCCCTCAGCCCCCCCCCCCCTCCTCCCCCTGGCACCCACCTGTCGGCATCAGGACGAAGGTGTCGCACTTCTTCAGCGCAGCCGTCACAATCTCCCTCTGGTTCTCGCGGAACTCGCGCAGGCCGAACATGGTGCGGAGCACCTACCGCCAGACAGGCGTGTGACGTCACAAAGCAGGTCGAGTACAGTGCACAGCGTCCGCCGCCAGGCATATGTGACGTCACATCGTAGGTCGAGCAGTGCGCAGCGTCCGCCGCCAGACAAATGTGACGTCACACAGCGAGCCGAACACGGCGTGGCAAGTCGGCCACTAGACAGGCGCGTGACGTCACATAGTAGGTCGAAGATGGTAAAAAAAAACACCCGTCGCCCGACAGGCGTCTGACGTCACATGGTAGACCGCCGGGTCTTGGACGGGCCACGGACAGGGGCGGGGGCAGGGGTGGACAGAAATAGGGGAGCAAGCGGTGCAGGTGGGAAAAACGAATTAGGAAAGGTACGGGACAGGGCACCCAAGCGGATAGGGGCGGAACAGAAAAACGCAAGATATTATAAAACCTATCCACTGCCTGCAAAAATCGCTTGTAAAGGGCTCATCAAAATCACGTGTGTGGTAACCTAGTGACAATCATCGATAACCAATCATATCTTGGTTGCTCGTGCAACAAGTTAACCGACGTACCTCGGTTCAACAAGGCGTCGACATCGGAAAAAAATCACGCTGAAAGAGAATAGCTGACACGGCTCAGAAGTTCCGGCAGAAAGGTCGCTGGTTTATTCCCTCGTTGCAGGCCTTTTGAATTCCATCACCGTGTGTCATCAAATCATAATGTGGACTGGGCTTTCAACCCATCGCTTTTACATCCAGCACCTCTTCGCCATCTAGACTAATGCCATCCCATGACACTTGTCAAGTCAACTCTGACTGTAACCCGGCAAGAATACAGATTTGCCGACTGAACTTTTCTGATGACATATCGCAATGCAGGCGATGGACATCGCGGGATGCGGAACAAATTCAGGGACCTGAACAGTGAGCAGGATTACTGCCGTAGTTTTCTACATGACAGAGAAGTGACGTGGTGGTCCTTGTCAGCATGGGAGCCTACACCGCGCTCAAAAAGTGTTCTTAAAACACAAAATAGATGCAAAGATTTGTAAGATAATTTTGGGGTCTGAGCAGCGAAAAATGACCACCTGGCCCCAAAATACGCCCACAAGCAGGCTTCTCCTCGGATATTGACCATTATCTCTCATGAATTGGGCGCTGGGGTGGGGCTGAAACCGGAGTTGGGGAAGAAGGGGGGGGGGGGGGCTGAAGCACTCAATCTGAATAGGAAACTACACCTTAAAACAGCATTCGCCTACCTTCATCATCGTACCAAGCTCTAGCCCTCTAGTTCTGTAGAGCTGGACCCTCCAGCGTCAAGTTACTTCACCAAACAGGTATAACGACACAGACCCAATGCCCCACACGACCGCCCACAAACCTAAGCACCAAATATGAGTGCGTGATATGTAGTGATGACGTTTTCGGCAACTTAACTCGCACGCTAAGAACTTGCACTTTTTAATTGGCATGTGCGGTGCCCCATGATCGCTAGTATTAACATGTCTATCCAATTACAGCGAACAATACCACGCCCTCATTCTGCCTTTACACCTATCGTCTTGCATCTAAAAATGCCAATTTTTATTCATTTTTGCGTTCTCCGGGCTTGCAAGTACCCTCGGGCCGTACTGAGCATGTATTAACGCACACTACTGGCTCGCCGTCCCTAATATAATTGATGATTCTCACACTAACAAACCGAAGGTGGTATTCCGTTGAGGCCCGTTACAGAGAGACGCAGTTCAGGAAACTGTGACATTTCACGTTACATGCACGTTGTGGCTGGGAACAAAATGGCACCCAAGCATGCTTGCACCCACAAACATACCACAATAAATTGAACAGGATACGCAATTACAGCGAATAGAGTGAGGAGCAGCAGACACATTGCGCGGCCGACGACACGGACACCTGATCTCACCCATGAAAATCCAGAGGTAATTACTCAAATGGTCACTGACACACTCATACACCTGTTTCCCAACAAGGCACAACATGAGCCCCAGCGCCCAAACGAAACCCTCCCCACGACACAAACCGTCAACGACCCCTCAGAGCGATGCGACTCATGCACGTACACCACGAGGGACGTCAAACGCAACTGGTGTCAGCCCGCTCCCCTCTGTCCACGCCGTGACACTCACCTCCCAGACGCGGTTGCTGGACACTTCGGCATTGCCTTCAGTCTCCGCCAGGTGGCTACGGTCAAGGTTGACGGCTTCGTACGAGGCGGGGCCGGTCGCTCTGTTGCCGTCGACCGCCGGTGCTGGCCACGCCTCTGCCCGGCCAGGAAGGCGTCGTCAGCGCGCGCCGGCACCGCCCACTCCAGCACCGCTCAAATGCGGACCAACTCTGCAGGCTGAGGCCGCCGGCGGACCCTGTTCCAGCCGATCGGGAGTGTGGGCACGGGTGCACGGGGTCACGGAGTCACGGAGGGGAGTTACGGGGTCATGGGGAAACGAGAGCCGACGCCCGACGCTGTCGGCGCAGCGCCGGGCCCGCGGTCGGTGCGGCCCTGCCTCGGCCTCGGGGACCGGCGCGCGGTGTGAGCTCACTCCCATCAGTCCCCCACCTGCTGTGGCCGGCGCGCTGGGGGGCGGCGGCGGCGCCGGTTCGGCGGCTGGCCGTGTGGCAGGACCTGGCGCGCCAGACCAGGGCGCCCCGGGGCTGTAGTTGCCAGACGGCGCAGTATCGCACGCGGGGCTTGTCCAGCCGGGCGGCGCAGTGGCGCTAGCGCCGCCGGGCGACCAGTCGGCCAGGCGCAGCTTGCGGTAGGCGGCCAAAAGGCGGCAGCACTTGCTGGCGTCCAGACCGCGCACCTGCCGCAGCGCCTCGGCCGGCAGCTCGCCCAGCATGTCGCAGATCCTGGCGGCCATCTTGGCCGCCTGCGGGCTCAGCTCTTGACCACTGGTCTGGGGGAGCGGTCGGAGCGCAGTTCTACACGGCGCACACAGTTCGTTCCCCAGCCCGCACGCGAGCCACCCGGGCGCAGGTTGCCGAGTTGGCTCAGCTGCAACCTTCGGACCTCTAGACTGCAGAGTAAAAACCAATCAATCACTGACGGTCGCATGCAACGTCCGATGGTGTTGCTGATGCTTGATGAAACCTTGGCATCACTGAGTGTTATACTGCGTCGCAGGCACTCGCGGTATTCAGCGCAAGCCTTGTTACTCGGACTCCACGCTGTGGCGCACAACATGTCGCACCACATGCCACACCATAGATGGACCAAAGACACAACAGACACATATGGCTGCAATTTCAGGACTATCCGTCTTCCGAAATGCGTCCGGTACCCCTCCCAGGTGACAGCGCCAGCTGTACCCCCGCTGGCGAATAGACGCCGAAGATTCACCACCCACTGGGGTCAGAGGCGCCGCCGCCGCAGGTGGGATGGTGACGTCACAGCTCGTCCAGGCGGCTGCAGGCTGCGAGGAGGCGATCATCTCGTCTTCACCGTCCACCGGAGCAGGCTGCACCAGGTCGTGGCGCCCGCCTGAAGCAGTGAACGCCAGATGCATCACACATGGTCTGGCTGGAGGAGCAGTGACCAAAGACGTCACATGGGGTCCGGCTGGAGGAGCGCAGACCAAACATCACACAGGGTCTGCCTGGAGGAGTGCAGACCAGAGATGTCACATGGGGTCTGGCTGGAGGAATGCAGACCAGAGATGTTACATGGGTCTGGCTGGAGGAGTGCAGACCAGAGGTCACATGGGGGCTGGCTGGAGGAGTGCAGACCAGAGATGTTACATGGGGTCTGGCTGGAGAAGTGCAGGCCAGAGGTCATGTGGGGTCTGGCTGGAGGAGTGCAGACCAGAGATGTCACATGGGGGCTGGCTAGAGGAGTGCACACCAGAGGCGTGCACCGACACAACTGGACAAACCACTGCACGCGCACCTGCCGCGGTCTCGTCCGCCTCGCCCTCGTCCGAAGGCCAGTCCGGTGGCAAGTCCGGTGGACCATCATCCACAGCCCAGTCCGGTGGACCATCATCCACAGCCCAGTCCGGTGGACCATCATCCACAGGCCAGTCCGGTGGACCCGGGTCAGGCGGGCTCGGCGACGGATGCTCGATGTGCGCGGCCGGCCCTGCGCCAGAGTCGGCCGGCCGGCCGGACGCCAGCGGCGGGACAACGGCGGCGCTCACGTGACGCGCACCACACGCCGACGGCAGGCAGAGATCGGCGGGCGCTCGGGCAGGCGCAGCTAACAGACGCGCTACCGGGCTGGGCGGGTTTCAGTTGGCAACACGCAGATGGGCAGATCATCAGTGATGCTTGAACACACGCATTTCCCGATGTGCAAATTCTGAAAGCTGCACGACATGCGAAAGCAACACGCAGCCGCACATCGAGCCACCGGCGCACATCGGTCTCACGACCACCAAGAGATAAGAACCCGCGGCTGAGATCAGTCTCCAGCAGCGGGCGAGCGGCCGGGGTGATCAGTCCAGTCCCGGGGTGCCGGCCGTGACCGCCGCCTGCCGCGTCCCACCTGCGCCGAGCGGCCGGCCGTGGCGGCTGGGTCCGGCATGGTGACGCTGACGATCTCGCAGTCACTGTCCCCGCTGCCCTTCGGTCCCGAGCCAGGGCCCTCCCCGGCCGCCGACGCCAGCTGGTGGCCGTCGGCGGCGCGGACCGGCCGGTCGGCAGCGAGGGCGTCCGCCGCCACCGTCTTCGCCGCCCGACGGACTGGCTCAGTGACTGTGAGTGAACACCATGCAGCACTATGAGGAGGCTCCAGAGCGTCATCCAATGACGAGTGCTGCACATGGTGATGCAGCTGCCAGCAATGCCCGGGGAGACGTGGAGGGAGGGTCAAAATGTGCTCTGGTGTCACAGGAACCACACACAAGTGTAATGCACAGGCACACAAACTTGGGAGAAAATCTGGACAGGTTTGCAGTGGCCGCATGTGCCTGTAGGCGGCCCTGTGCATGCATCCTCTGCATGCAGCATACATATGCGAACATGCATATCCCGACTCACACTCACTCACACAATGCAGTATCTGCTCTAAACAGGACCACTTACCAAAGCTACTGTTGAGATCAAAGTCATCAATATCATCATCACAACCATCCAGAGGCTGTGAAGGGCGTTGGCTCAGTTGGGGCGCACATGGTGTGGAGGTAGCAGGCCGCTCCTGTCTTCCTGGGAGACTGGCAGGCAACGAGGAGCGAGTGGCAGCCACGGGCCTTGCAGAAGAGGGCCATCATTAAAGGAATGCCTTCCCCCTGATTTTAATGGATGCTACTGATGAAGGCTCCACTGATGATTGAGCCACCCATGGTAAATATAGCTGATTTCTTTTGAAGATTTTGGCTGTTCCAAAATCCTGTCAACTTTTTCAGACCACACCAAACTCACTATGACTTGATGTTCTCAGGTCTTTTAATACTTCCAAACATAGTTCATGATTGTCCCAGTCCTTTGACCACTGTGGGGAAACTCAGCTGTCTCTCACTACCTTGCCATGTCAGATGTCTGATATCTGTCACCATATCAGGAGCCATGTCATCCACAGTAAATGCATTTTTGAGGGCAGGGGAACATGGCTGCTTGCAGTTCTGCCACTGACAGTAAGTCAAAGCCTAATTATAGGCACTACTTGGCTAACCCTGGCAGGATCTTGGCCATTTCAAGCCCCATTGATCATCTTGGGGTCCCATAGCTATTCTGGAAGGGAGGACTTCTTTATCTTTGCAGCACATTGCATGTCCTCAGCAACTGTACCTGTTATATAAGCCCCCGACTGTTTTGAGCTCTGAGTCATTTTGGCCACACATGAAGACAGTTCATGGGGCCTAGAGTTTGTGATATGATACAGTCCCTGTCATAACTGTTTTGGTTGAGCCATGTGTTAAAGTGAGTAAAGAGCTTCATTGCCTTTAGGAATTTGTGGGCTTCCACAAGCCTGTGGATTTAATGCCTCTTGAAACCTAAGGGCATGGTGCCTCAAAATAAAGCTTTTGGTGTCCCTGCCCTACATAAGCAGAGCCAGGTCTTCATGAAAGAGGTAGCCTGGACATAGCAGCGCCACTGAAATTTGATGCTTCTTTAATCTATTGATTTGGATTTTTGCTGCTGAAATTTGCATACTTTAGAAAATCAAGGTTGTGTAGTTCCCAGATGAAGGTGTAGGTGCTCCCTGCATATTGACATCTTGGTGCCCTGAAATGGCACCAAGACCTCATGGGGGCAAGGGAAGGGGAAGATAAAAAGCAAAAAATTGATGTTATGTCAAACATGTCTGACAATAGCAGAACCACACCAACAGCTTTGTATACGCATCATAGATCTGACAACACTGTTTGTCACAGTCAGCATTAATTTCAGCATATAGAGAGCCAATGTTTAGGGCACTATGATCTTGCAATGTTAATTTCAGGCAAAATATTCCAGACATCCTTCAAAAAATACAGGGAAAATTCACACAATTTGGCCTGACCCATTTGGTGTACACAAATGCAGGATACAGCAGTTCGGGTGATCTCAGGTAAGCATGCAACACCATGAATGTATTTTTGCAGACTGAGAAATGTAGTAGTGCCCGAATTGTTTTGGTCCTGGGACGGGCCAGTCGCACAGTTCACATCAAACAATACCTTGGAACTGTGATTTGTGGAACCACAGGGAGACTGAAGAAATACTGTACAGATGAATTTCGTTGGGGGTCACCTGCTTGAGACTTAATCGCCTTAAACTTGTATGGTCCAGACTTTCTCGCAGACATCTCGACGTCGATCTCGGAAAACATCGATACGCAGGGCGCTCCAATCGGTTCCCCCGGGAAAAAACCCGCCGGGGCACCCGCGTACCTCAAGCGGCAACACATCCTGGAGAATATTTAGTACGAACCTTTTCTAAGAGGGAAAGGGTGCTTAGCACCGATTCGTACTAAAAGTGCGAAGTTTAGGACGATCGATACTAAACAGAGCGGTCCGGTAACACAAGACTGAAGAGAGGAAATGAGGCTATGAAGAGATGAGCATCGTGAATTTGTTTTTTGTTTGATGGGAGTAGAAAACCATCATTACTTTGGGATCCCAATTTCCATTTGAATGTGAGTTGCTCGTAGGAGGCGGCGTGGTCGGTTGGTTCGTGGTCAGTGGGGAGCACGGTGGAAGTGATTAGAAAGCGCACCTGTAGACACTTTTGCGCGTAATTTGCAAAAGAGTGTTATCTACCGGCTAAGTATGATACTGATATGTGGGGCCTAGCTGGTGCACGCATCGGACCCGTCCAACGTTTGCAGCTGGGTCCCATGTGGATCCGAGATGGGCAATCAGATAGGGCCCGCCTGGGTTTGCTACTTCGGGCCCATGCGGGCATGCCATGGGCAACCAACTGGGTCCCACATGGAAACCCATGTGGGGCCCTTGTGGGGCTCAGTCGGTACACACATGGGACCCACTTGGGCAGCCCAGATGGGACCCATCTTGGCAGCTCAGTTGGGACCCATCTGGGTAACTCAGTTGGGGCCCACACGGGCAAGTCCAGCTGGGACCCATATGACGAGGCCAGATGGGGCCCATATAGCTCTCCCAGATGGGACCTGTTTAACCACCCCAGATGGGCCACAGCTGGGCTTCACCGATCTGCCATTTCAAATTCTACCTGCTTGATTGATCGCCGTAATTCCAGGCGGAATGCTTCATGTCATGGATAATAAACCTGGTCAAAACTTATCCATCATGTATTTGACCGAAGACGCCTCGGCAACAGCACCATTGCGCAAGACATACACTTCCCTGTTATCATGCCCGATGCGACAATCACTAAACCATTCAACAGATGTTATGTGTTGCCGTTGCCGCCGTTGTTGGTGCGATGTTTCCTGCCGTCGTCGCAGTCTCTCCCACCGAAACCACTTTCCTGGTACCTATTTCGCTTTGTTGTGGGATGTACTGTAGCGCGGTGTGTTGCGCGCATATGTTTTTTCGTACACGCTTTTCTAGGCAGCCCATGTAAACAACAACATTTCTTAGACTGGAACATAGTAGCTGTCAGCTGTCTATACGTGAATACGATATTGTCTCGATAGATCATTTTTTAGCGCGGCTGCTCGGGGATCCACTCACTCACTAAAGAATGAGTTCGGGTCATTTTAGGCACTCGCTCTTTGTCCCTGCAATGGATGGCCTGCGGCTGATGGCAACACAAGCTGTCGTCAATGATTCATACGTGCACTTGTTAAAATGTCTGAAATAAATATTAAAACAGTAAATTCCGGGAAAACACTGCTAGTCCAGTTTCAAAAAGAATTCTGCCATTTCTTTCTTACGTTACAACTGCAAAACTTGGTTTGCTCATGCTTATCCGGGAAAGTGCTCAGAGAAATGGAATAGATAAAATCAGTTTGTCTTCGCCTTGCTCATCTTGTGGAATTACCAATAATTGTGGTAAGGAAATCCTCGCTGTAAATTCTAGCAGAATTGTATGTGAAATACGAGCTGAATATTACAAACCCGTATGGTACAATACCTGATTTCCCAAGCATGATGATTCTGGAGCAGCACTAGTTGTCTTTAACGGAAACGTCTTGTTGCTGTGCCAGCTTGCTGGCAGACATACTGCTTCCGGGCGACCAGGACCAGTGCTCAAGCAGCGTTCCAGAGCAGAGCAGGAACAGTTCTCAGCAACATTTCAGCAGGACAACAGTAAATCGTTTCTCCATCTAACCAAAGGCTGCGGCTGCTGCCCATCCCTCCCCCTCCCCCTCCCCCCCCCCCCCCCGTCTCGAAATCCGCAACAGCGAGCCTCATCCTGCCGGAAAAACACGCAAAAGGGGCGTAAGCTGAAAAATACCAACATTACGTCGCTGGCGTACTGGAAGCAAGCACATCAGGAGAAACAGGCGGTGAGGTGTCGCAAACGTATTATCGCATATGTAAGAAGTCATGCATGTCCAGGGCCTCGTCTAAGACCTTTTCTATGAACGGGGGGTGCAAAAATTTATTGTCCATACAAAATTAGCCTCACATGACGCCCTACACAATGACGTGAGCCGACTTCATTTAATTATGGTTCATTTAATTAGGGAGGGGGTTTCCACGCCACCGGGTGGGGAGGGATGCATAACACTGAAGGGATTTCGCCCTCTTTTCAGCATGGGTGCACGGCATCCTGCACGGCACGGCACGGCCCTGCCAGTGTACCGGTCGTAGCAACACCATATCATTTAAAAAGGGCCTTGCCACACGAAAGCCCAAGCAGGAAACGGAAATGATTTCGCACAACGCACACTCACCGGTGCACCCAGTACGCAAAAAAAACACTTCCAGGAGCCGTCCTCCTTGCGCGCCAACCTGTCTGGGGAATGCGGCCACCCTTCCAGTGCCGCGCACCGGAACGGGCCCCCCCCCCCCCCCCCCCGGCCGCCAGCCGCCAGCATAACAACCAGGGCGCCGGGGCGGGGACAATGTGACTAAGCATGGGCGAGGGAACGATCGCGTTATTTTTGGGGGGGGGGGGGCTTTGCAGATCGAGCTTACCTTCATACAACTGAGATAATTTAGCACTAGGCTCGCGTCGGTACATGGAACAAAACACCTCAAATGCTTTGCTCCCCCCCCCCCCGCCCAATTATCGACAACTTCCTTTGCTCCTGTGACCAAGAAGGGGCACGGGGTGGGTCAGCGCCGGCAGAAGCGAGGGCCAAGATCCAGCGGCGTCAGGCACAGCGGGGTGCAAAGGATTTTTTAATTCATTGTACAAAGGGCAGATTTGGACAGCTGGACTGTCGGCGTCCCCGGTGTGGCGTCAGCGAGCGGCTCCGTCTGCCGCGTCCGTAGTTCGGTGCAGGGAACATGCCTTGTTTGTGGGGGAATCCCCATGCTCAGTAACATGTATACACAGGGCATTGCCGCTCAGCTCCAGGTTGAAGTTACAGCTTAATGTCAGCAACTTTGAATGAAGTCATAACAGCATGAGCCAGCAAGCACTGATTGTCAGTTGTGTGTTGCTGTTGCAGGCAACACCAACGTTGGAAGCCTGTTTTTGGTCACCACCAAGACAAATATTTTAGAATAAAAATGCGCTTGGAGAGAGGACTTGTGAATTAGGCAAATTCATACACAGGTCTCACCCAACAAATGTGCATCACACGCATGACGAAAGTGCGTATGGCAAAAGAGTGTGCGAAAAGGCTATTACCAAAGACCTCGTCAGCAAATGTCTGTATGGCTTAGAGAACGCCTGCAAAATATTTGTTATTGCAAAAGGTTGACGGGGAAGCAAATGCTCCTGGGCAAAGGGTTCGCATGCGCAAAGTAAAATGTGCTGGTAACACAAACCTGCTTGACGAAAACGCGCACGTAAAAATTCCTAAGTAACGGTGACGCGGCATCGATTGTTTACATGTAACGCACTCCTATGGAGACGTTTCAGAAAAAATAGATCACCCGATTATCAACTTATTCACGCCACTTCTCCGATGTCGCCTGAATGCTGTGTGTGGGAGATGGATTCGTGTCTTACTCATGGAATGAAGCATATCTTTTTACAGTGAGTGTGTCTAATGATTTCGGTTTCCTCAATGCATCCCTGAGGGAGGTTTGGCAATTACCCATGGTTGATTTTGGCTGCTAAATGTGCATTTCAATCTGGAAGCAGTTTTTATTTATTTATTCCTATCAATCTCGTCGATGGCTGTGCGTGAACAAACACAATCCAAAAAGATAAACCAATCGGCGGGCAGGAAAGGACGAACACAGTGACTTATATGTTGCGAGTAACTGCGCGCTAGAGACATGACCATTATTTTGGTTGCTAGGCAACGTTAACATTATTTTGGTTGTTCGGTTACGTAATGCGATCACATTTCCCTAGAGCCTGGTGCAGCCGATTGATACGACACAATGCTTGTTCCTCATCTTAGTATATCGTAGGCCGACATGAATTCGTGCGTATGAACTGACCAGCCTTACCATACGTCCAAACCTACACACTCGCACCCCTCAGTTGAATTTAAACAACAACAAAGGAACAACATAATGGCCACCGCCGTCGCCGCATTCGCAAGCTGCCGTCAGCGCTGACAAGCAACATTCTCGAAAAGCCATTGGCTAGAGCTAACAATGCCTACTCAATGATGTCGATATGCTTAGTAGTGATTATTGCTTGGGGGCTATCCGATAACTTCATTCTTCCATACAAAGCGAAGACAATTTGTGGGCTGCGACCATATCTCATCCGTGGAGACAAACTTGTGGAAGACAATGGCACCACGATTTGTAAATCAAGAGTCCCTACCATCTTACGTGCACAGTCAAAAATTTTAACTTGACTATACACACCCCCTTTAACTATCCGGTGTTCCGTTTAAATATTACAGCTTTGGGAAATGTTCGTCAGTCCTCAAACAAAATTATAATGAAAAACCCTGGAAGTGGAAAAAAAAACTCTGTCAGAACATCATTTAGGTGTTGAGCTTGACAGCGACAAAGAACTGTGAATTTCTGGACTTCGTATTGCACAAAAAATGAAGCGGCGGTCTTTTTATCTTCCTGCGCCGTTACACAATGACGTTAAGCTTCTGGCCGATTTTATTTTTCAAAACACGAAGTGGACGTTCATGTGTTTTAACACGTTATCTATGTTTCTTTTGTGGCTTTGAGCTGTAGCAAACCTTGTTAGGTTTGCAACAGCTCAAAACCACAAAAAACATAGATAACCTGTTAAAGCACATGAACGTCCACTTCGTGTTTTCTGTGCCCTCTGGTGCAGCCATGTTGGGGA